AGAGACTGCCTTTGCCGCCGCCGCCGCCCGAACCTTTCTAGACATTTGGGCCTTCAACCATGAATTTGTCGATGTTCGGATTCGTCAAGACAATGTTCGATCGCTGCTCGGGCTTCTGCCCGACTCTCTGAAATCAGCCTACTCGACGTTGATATCAGATGTAGCAGCCGCTGTCTACGACACATATCCGGCCGTCGATGTCCCAGCCCAGACTTACCGCATCCCCAATGGTCGCGCAAACCTCAAGAACGCGCAAAACGGGAACGAGAACTATTTCTTCCAGGATTACCAGAGGCTTGATGTATGTGACCTCACGCCTGTGCAAGCACCGCGGAGTTCGAGCTAATACGTTCTAGACAATCGTCCAATGGATGCGCTTGACCGAAGCTATGTTCCCAGCCATCACCGAAGTTATAACCATTGGGCAATCCTCTGAACAACGAGATATTCTCGGTCTCAAAGTTGGTATGAAGACCCGAGCGCCGGGCAGCGAAAAGCGGAAGACAGTCGTTGTGGCGGGAGGAATGCATGCAAGAGAGTGGATTTCCACGACAACTACCAACTATGTCGCTTGGTCATTCATTACGGCCTTCGGCAGGGAACCTATGATCACCAAGCTGCTGGAGCACTTCGATTTTGTCTTCATCCCGGCAGTCAACCCCGACGGCATCGAGTACACCTGGACCACAGACCGGCTATGGCGAAAGTCTCGTCAGGAGACGGGCATGTCTTGGTGCCACGGTTTCGACCTCGACCACGCCTTTGGCTATGAATGGGGCGACTACTCCGAAAACGACCCTTGCTCTGAGAGCTATGGCGGCAAACAGCCATGGCAAGCGGCCGAAGCCAGAGCTGTAGCACTCTGGGCGAGGAATGCGTCCTTGGAGGACACCGAATTTATTGGTCTCATTGACCTGCACTCCTATTCTCAACAGGTGCTATTCCCCTTCGCATACTCCTGCGATGTGGACCCGCCCAATGTCGAGAACCTCGAAGAGCTCGCGGCTGGGCTTGCCAAGGCCATTCGTCTGTCTAACGGAGAGCTGTACTCGGTCACATCGGCGTGCGAAGGAGCCGTCGCAGGACGAGGCTCTGCACCAGACGCTAAGCGTCTCGAGACGGGCGGTGGATCGGCCATTGACTGGTTCTACCATGAACTGCACGCGCATTACAGTTACCAGATCAAGCTGAGGGACACCGGCAGCTACGGCTTCCTTCTCCCAAGGGAAAACATCATTCCCGTCGGCGAAGAAATATTCAGCGCGATGAAGTACTTCGGAGACTACCTCCTTGGCAATAACGGAATCGAAAAGTCCGTGGGAGCCTCGACACCAACACCCGACGAACCGGATCGCAGTTTGGAGCTTCGACGACTCAGAAAGCGCAGATAGTTAGGCAGTCAAAGGATGGACTCTGAGTCTTGATTTTCCGGCTTCCTCTGTTGCCTGGCTCTTCTTGGGAAAAGTAAGCCGAGGGGTAGTAAGAGAGCAAGATAAAATTAGTGGCGGGTAACAGCAACCGGGATGTACGACACGGAGTTACGGCGATGGTGGGAATTTGTTCAGGTATAATAGTCACGGTTGTACGCAGCGATTATTAAAGCAATGGGTCGGTTCACTAGGACTTTACTGTGGGACATGATAGTCGTCTATCCCCAACATTCTTTGTATGATTTTACAGCGGCTCGTAAAGCAAGAGATTGGATCGTAATCCACAAACAGCGTACCGAGGTGCGAAGCCCCCTTTACCAATTCATAATCATGGCGAGAGCGGTGTATGTGGACGTGAACTTGAGGGCGGTGTCGAAGAGGAAGGAACCAATGGAGCCACTGTGCATTCGCATAGGAGTTAGTAAGGAGTTTCTGGGATGCGGAGATAAATCTCGAGAGGAAGAGGCAGAGAGAAGAAGTCTTGGGACAAGAACGCACCGAGTCCGGCCCTTGGGGCCAGCGCCGCTTGTGTAGCCAAAGGCGTAGAGGATACGGGACAGGGTCCAGCCGGCGCCCAGGACGGCGCTGGCGACGGGGAAGCGCAGGCCGGAGATGAGGAGGGCGCCGAGGAAGGAGGGCTGGTTCTCGGTGAAGTTTGCGTGGGCGCGTTGTGCTGGGACCATGGTGTGACGTTAGCGATTCCGGCTTTCTTTGTTTTGTTTGGGTCTTGATATCCTGAGCTGTGTGCGCCTCTGCTTTAATAGAAAGGGGGCAGAGGGGCAGAGGGGCAGAAGTGTGAGAGGAAATCGTACCGCAGTTGAACTGGTATGCCTTGGGGTCCTTGTCGGCCTGCTCGTTGGAGGCGTAGGGGGCCGGGTAGACTAGGCCGCTGGCCTTGCGGTACTTGCTCGTCAGGAGGACGTGGGTGGTGTTGATGAAGAAGGTTGAGGCGGCGACGAGGAGGACGTAGCTGTTGGGGAGGGATTTGATTAGCTACTCGAGCTTCAATGGCATATAGTTCTGGCTGTGGAGGGGGGGGGGGGCTAGAGAGGGAGAGCTTGCGATACGTACCCGTACTCGTCAGGGACCTGGAGAGTGAGAGGCATGATGGCGATAGGGATATTGAAGGGAGAGGTGATTAGGATGAGCTTGCTGGATTACTGATCTGGGTGTTCGTGCAATTGATCAAAGTAAGATTTGGCGGGATGCAACTTGGTTGTGTGTATAGAAGTGACAGGCAAACGGCAACGCAATGACCATAGTCTTTATAATTACTGATCTGCGACCTGAAAGCTACGTAATGAACGTGTCCTTGCCTGGGGGGTCGTATCCGTACAGCTCGAGACGCCAGACGTTTTGGTCCGGGCTTTCTTTCTCCATGTCCAGGTCCAAAAGAACTGAGGTGGTCTCCGCACCGCTCTCTGGTCTGGGCTACCTGTTCGTACCCCTAGCTGCCTTGCGGTCTTGGGCAGACTATTGTGCCGTGGCACCGAGCCTGACCTGTTTTCCGTGTAGGCGGATACAAATGCGCGTACGTCGTGGTTGGGCGTAACCCTTGGAAGATGAAAGAATAGGACCACCGGGGCATCTCAGGGGTGGAGGACGGCCACATTTTGAGCCCGATTGCCGATGATGGCTAAGATTGACCAATCACTGTCTGTCCGGCTAGCTGTGAGCGGGGCCGTTTTGACGTCCTGCTGTGCGGACTTTGAGGCGGACTTTGGACTCACCTTAGTAATTGCCTGCTCGAGGAAGCAAGAACATTAGAATCCTCCGCAAAATACAGAATCATTGTATTGCCTTGGAGATTTCGAGGTCAAACGCGTGAAAAGGGAAGTGAGGTTATTCCCACAATGATACTGCCATAGATTGAACCCTGCGCTGTTGTCCAGACGTAAGTTCCGTGTAAGTGATTAAGGTTGGCAGCATTTTGGGACTTTTGCACGTTTGGCAGCTCCTCTGTCCCAATAGGATGTTGACGGGGAGTTAGCACGCCATTTTAGTACCGGCTTCGCCATGTGATCTGCCCCTAGGATCTCTGGGGTCGATGTTATCTATCCGTACCCAGGTCTTTCACCACGAGCTCGCCAAGGACTCGGGAGGCACACAATCTGCAGCCACTTCCGAAGGCACCGGTGACGGTAGATAAGGTTCCAAGGTGTCGGGTTGACCGTTCCTGGGTTCGTTTGATGTTTTTCAGATTCTGTAACGATTCAGCCGGTGCACCTGTCTTCGGGAGGAACCCAGTCGAGGCCCAGGCCCTGGAATACCCTCCTCTCGGCTGTCAACATGTCCGGGGCCCGCCCTAGATCGCTGCTCTCCAGGTCAACCCAGCTGCCGTCGAGCCGGCTCCGAATGCCACTGCTGTCAAACTTGTAGCTCTTCTGTTTCTTGCAATACCGGCGCAGGTCTCGCTGAAAAGTCGTCTCTCCGCTCCAGCCCAGTATAGCGCATCCAGCCGTCTTCCAAGGACTGATGATGATGTCTACCCGCCGATGTGGCTTCTCTTGTGGTCCTTTCTCACCCTTCTCCGGTTCCTGCCAAACCACGAGCGCTTTGTCGAGTGAATCGAAACCGCTTCCCCTGAACTCGTTACCCTTCCAGCTGACAGGCTGCTGGCCCCGCTCGCTATTGTGCTTACTCAACACGAGCGTGTGCGTTATATGCCCAGTCTTTTCCAGGCTCATCACCAGTTTGTCGACAAAGTTCAAAGTCACAGACTCGTCTGGGTGGCTCATCACCACGTCGACGTCCCCACTACCTTGCTTGCCACGCCGGTAGCCGCCGACAATGACAAGCTGAAAATCCAGGTGAATACTGCGGGCGTGAGCCAAGATCGTGTCGGCGATAGACTCGACTTCAGTTCGAGGAATCTTAAGCTTGAACTCGTCATAGTATTTGACGCCAATCTGCTGCACGCGACTGAGGCTTGCCCAACCATGTTCGACAACATCGTCTAAGTCTCGCCATCCTGTAGGTGCCGGTCAGCAGGATGCTCTTTCTCGGGAAGGCAGTTACACATGCCTCTGCCGTAGAAATCACGAGCCGTGGCATCACCGACTCCCCAAATATCGTAGAATGTTTGTATGACCGCAAACTTGGGGTTGGCCTGGGCTTCACTCGCCTCGGGAAGCCTGCCGGTTTCCTTCCACTCGTGCCACAGCTCGGCGATCTTAGCGCCGCAACCAGGTAGCCTCGCAACTTCTACATGTTCGTCAACATATGCTAGGCATTGATCGAAGTTCCTCTCAGCAAACGTCGACTCACCTTGCGGGCTGGCTATCTCGTGAGGATATGCCGATATCGTAGCTATCGAGGTTGAATACGCCCTTACTCCTATTTGGTCGCCTCCTAATCTTCGTATGGTTCTGATCGTCTTGAGCCCATCAACGAATGCAGCATTCGGAGGATCAACTGGCGTAGATCTCTGGCAAGCATATGTTGTTCTGAGATACTGTGGAACAGGCGGCAGCTTCAGTGTTGAGGCGTTTTCCGATGTTGTCTGTCTGACCAATGAAGGCACTGACCGGTGCATCCCGGTAGGAGATTGCGCCTTCTTCTTCTGCGGCAAAAGGCTGCCCTGTGTTTGAGACGCACTGTCGGCGACAGCGCGGGACAATATGTCGCTTCCCCTAATAGTGACAGGCGCGCGATCTTCCTCCTTCTTAATGCCCACGTAGAGAACATAGTCATGAAGCGGAAGAACCCTGCCCTGCGCAAACGAGTCCTGGAGCCACGCCAGCTTCACGACTTTGACAGTGTTCGCATTGCCAGAGGACTTCTCGGGAGCTGGCCATGTTCCGGCGAGCTGTGACGTATCTAATCCGAACCTCTGTCCATCTTCCGTGTATACGGTGGAGTCGCTGTCACTCCCAGAAGATGCCCTTTTGCGCTTCCGAGGCGTGACGAGATGCGCATCTGCGACAGCTGCTACATCTACCGGATCTGTCTGTACTTTCTTCCGCCTGAGTTCGAAAAGAGCTCTTTCTCGTTTGAAGATATTCCCGACAATGATCTCGGCCTCGCGGATGTCGTATGTTAGGCTCGGAATTCTGCCCTCGAGCTCATGTAGTTGATCCGCCTCTAGGTGAGTGGGAAGGAGATAGATCGAGGGAAAGTCGAGAACCGTCATAGCCCCTAGCCAGAGTCGGCGCGTGAGTCGCTGCACAGGACAAGTCTGGTTGTGCGAGGAGGCCGGTCTTTTGAATGGTCATGAGTGATATGAGTGCATTGTAAGTCGTCCAGAGGTTGTCATTCGTGCGATGTTGAAGTTGGTAGCCGAATGTGGATGAGAGTACTCCCCCACTATCCTTGACTGGTTCTTCTGCCGAAACGGCTGGTGGGTTTGCTTTGCACTTGCAATGCGACTGAAGCTTGTCGCGGGGTTGATGTGGAGGGAAGATAAAATACTTTCCGGATGTTGCGCGCTGTCGGCGATTTGTTCAACTCAAGGCGCTGACATCATCGTCCCTGCACCATATGATTTAGTCACCAAATGACTTCTCAGATACATTTCTGGATTGGTCTTTTTGACCCAAGAAAGAACGCCCCGTTCGTGCTACCCGTTCGTGCTACCCGTTCGTGCTCCATTTCCTAGGCACTCTATGTGTTTCCCACTTGTGTATCCTATTCTTACAACAACGGGATGCTTCCATGGGCCTGAAGGATGGGAATTCGGGATGCAAGGGCAGGCAATACCGACCACCTCCGTCAAATCCTCAGCCACTCCTCTCATGATGCGGAGTCTCTTCGAGCCATTTCTTCATCAAGACACTTTGATGCTTTGATGTCTTCCTCGCACCCCTAGACATCCTCAAACTCCATGTCTTCGTCGCTCTCGCCGTCATCCCCGTCCGCTGGCGCTTCCACCTTGACCTTCTTGACTGCTCTTCCTTCTGATTCTGGTGAGGGCTCAGCTTTAATAGCCGGCGCCGGGGTTGCGATGCTCGGTGTGACATCTTCGAAGGCGTCGTCATCCTCATCATCATCGTCATCCTCCTCCTCCTCCTCCATTGCTCGCGCTGCCTCAGCCTCTTGCTCAGCCTTAAGTCGAGCGAAGTAGTCATCCAGCTCTGCATGTTCCGCATTATCTGCTGACTTTGACAAAGCCCCCTTGTCATCCACCTCCTCAACCTTGGTGGCGGGCATTGGGTTGGCCTCGGCAGAAAAGGACTCGCCCGTGACCGTACTGTTAGACATCCACGAAGGAAGTGCATTTTGCTGTGCGACCTTCTCCTTACGGGCCTTCTCCGCTGCCTTCTCAGCCTCTGAAGGCCCGTCCGCTGTCGAGATGCTGACTGACATAGACTTGGGCCCGACATTATCGAGACCCTTAACTGATGTTGGCTGCAGGGATGAAACAGGGATGGTGGTTACGCTCTGGTAACTGGCGTCGCGGACAACTGGCAAGGCTTTACTGATCGCAATATCGAAGGTGTTATCTGGAACAATCATCTCGTCTATGCGCGGTAACAATTCGGTGATGAACTTGAACTGGTTATTTAGTCGTGTCGACTGCTCGTGGCCTGTGGAGTTGCGCTCGAGATCGTGCGTAAGCGGGCCATTGCACCGGTGACAGACAAAGCCTGTAGGGCCAACGTTGTCTAGCACCTCCATTTGCGTCCATTCTGATTTACACCGTCCGCAAAAGTATTCCTTGCGTTCGCTGGCCGGCACCGTGGTGCCTTGGATTTGCTTGTCGACTGTGTACACACGCCATTTGATGGCGTCAATTGTTTGGCGGTAGTCAATGTAGTAGTAGGTTCGGTTGACAGGACGCGGCTTCGCCTCGGGATTCTTGGGATCTTCTCGATATTCCAGTCTCGTGTACCTAAGTAGTCATCGTTGTCAGTCTCTGGCATCGCAGGAGGGAGCTCAGGCGCAAGGCTTACACAGCTAGAAACCGGTCTTCTCTAAGCTTTCCACACGCCTTGTGGAGATCCTTTGTGTTCGTTGCCATCAGATACGCCAAGTCATCGTCTCGGAGACTGTCACAAATTAGCGAATGTCGTGCTGTAAAGCAGGAGCGGCAGACGCACGCAGAGTGAATGATCAAGGCATCGATGATCAAAATGAAGCGCGTTTCGTAGAAGGCGCGCATGACAGACTTGACGAGAGTCTTTGCGAGATCCAAAGGCTGCGCCATGTTGTCGACTGAATAACCAACAACGCTGGGAAATATCGAGTAATGATGCTTGCTTTGAGGTTTGGTGATGCCGAGAGAACGTTTGCTTGGCGAGCTCAGGAAGTGAAGTCCATGGCAGGGTGGGCTTTCAGCAGCAGCGGCTTGCACTTGCGCATGCGCTTGCGATCAGCAGGAGGGGACCTGTCTTTACTGCGGTTCGATCGGAGGCAGAACTTTCGAAGTGGTCAGCCTAAGGACATTGTCTTGCGAAAAGCAGAGGTGGGGTTGCGCCGTCTTTCACAACTGCGTAGTCGAATTGCACTTTGTCTTTGGAGAAATGATCTAGGCAGCACGCAGATGCTCTGGGGCAGGCTTAGCCGCAGGTTGCAAAGCAAGGTAGCTCTTGCCTACCTACGGTACCTAGCTTCTTTTAGTGTATTCGTAAGGTAAGTACCTTACCCCGTACCTTGCAGGTCTTGCAGGCATCCACTTTGAGCACAGCGCACTTTCGCGGTACAGTACCGCGGTGCCTCACAGAGTTATCTACGAAGTAGGTACAAAACACGCCACAGCATTACAAACGTAATGTCTCAAGTCTGAAGTAGGACCTTCATAGATTTGAACCAAATAGCGATTCGCTCTCATATGGTCAACGTGCCGTACCAGTTGTTGATAAGGATGCCGTCTGTCTGTCATTCACTCAGAAAGGCAGGCAATGCGGAAGGGATCACTTAGAACACGGCAATGCGGACCATTTGATTTCCAGCCAAATCAGCAGGAAGAATAGACGCTAGAATAAGAGAAACCATGCATTGACATGAAGTTCAACGTTCCACCGGCCGTGTGACAGTCCAAACTCCATTTACGGCCCTGCCGGTTCTCAGCGTGGCCGCGAAGCTACCTTTGAACCGCCTGAGCAAACTGGGATTTGGGATGTGAAGCAGCTCCGGAGAGCTGACTTACACTCTCCTACCCCAAATCAAAATTACTGAAAAGCCCCAAGAACACAGAGCTGGTATCGTAACTCGTCCCTCTACTTCCCGCACCGGGGCCCCCGGAGAACCCACATTGCATCACCGAAATGTACCAGGTTCTTCCTCTCCTTTGTATATGCCTCAAAACCCCTACCGTCTCCAGCCTTATGTATACTTTCGAAGCTGTTGCCTGGTCAGTGATGTTCATAATTGCTTGTGGGGGAGAACTTACATCAAGAGTCAGCGCTCTAGAACTATTGACTTCTTGATCGCGATAAACGCCGACCAAGCTCTCACTGTCTTGGAACAAACCGGTCTTGAGACTGATGACAATGAACTGCATGCCGGGTCCAGCATGCTCACGTATGTACTTCTTGATCTTGTCGACATTGGCGTTGTCTAGCGCAGCGTCGACCTCATCCAATACGAAGAACGGACTTGGCTGGTAGCTGTGAATCGCAAATAGCAGAGCGAGAGCAGCCATTGTCTTTTCTCCTCCGGAGAGATGTTCCATGTCTCTGAATCGCTTCAGCGGTGGCATGGCGTGATACTTGATACCCGAAAGGTAGGGCGTGTCTGTATCTTCTTCAATATCGAGGTACGCTTGGCCACCAAGAGGGTATGCCTCTGATCGAGTCAGATCCTTGTACACGTGCGAGATCTGTTCTTGGATGTGCGTAAAAGCCTTGTTGAATAGCTCATAGCGCTGAGCCTTGACGTGGTTGAACGCATCGCGGGCCGCCTTAAGAGCCGCTCTGGAGTCTTCGAATTCCTTCTCCGTGTTCTTCAGCCTCGACTCAACGCTCTCGAGTCTCTCAATCGCCCTCATGTTGGGGTTGAGCTTCTCGAGTTCTGAGGCCAGAGATGCAATCTTATCCTGCAGCTTCTCCTCGACACTAGCGTCGTCAGACTGCATTGAGTGTCAGCAAATTCTCACATGGCTTCGTTATCAAATGTTTACTTACCGTCTTCATCTCCTCGTCTAGAGCGTCGTAGTCAATCTCGATGCCGTGGTTCTCGAGAGCAGCCGTCATCATGTCTTCATCGTCCACCTCCTCATCGACGTCCATGGCATCGGCATCTTGCCGCAACATATTGTCTTCATTTGGCAAGTTGTCAAGCGAGCCCTCGAGTAAAGGTACCTGGATCTGGTCAAGTTTGCACCGCCTGAGCAAAGCGAACTTGCCCGCGCTGTTCTTCTGCACCACAGTCTCGAGAGCATTGATTTCCTTTTGCCTGGCGTCGATTTCCTTGCTTCGCTTGTGTACTTCAGCCTTGGCTTGGGAGACCTTTTGGCTCTTCTCCTCCAACTTGCCGCGGTACTCCTCGAGTGTCTCGCTAAGCGCATCGAGCTCGTCGGAAATTTCGTGACTGGAATCCTCAATGTCCGACTTCTCCCGCTGATAAGTCTGCAGGTCGCGCTCAGCCCCTTTAAGAGTTTCTTGCAGCTTCTTCAGACGTTTCTCCAGGTTGCTGTGCATGTCACGTGCCAAGGTGAGTTGACTTTGGAATCTAGACTTTTGCACCTCGAACTTGGTCCGCTCTTCGTCGGCTTCCCGTTGCATATCGCGGTGTTCTGTCTCGTAAGCCCGGATGTCGCTGAAACCGAGCCTCCTGCAGAAGTTTACGAAAACCTCATCCTCCACTTGTGCAATGGCGTCCGAGAATTCCTTGACGGTCCGTTTCGTTGCTTCGAGTTCCGTCTTCTTCTCCTCGTACTTGGGATCGAGCTCGTCAAGCTGCCTCTCTTCGTTGTCCCTTTCTCTCTTCTTTGAGTTGTAGTTCTTTTCCAAGTGCGCCAGCTCAGCCTTGGCAGCCGCCAGACGGGGTTCCAGGCCATGGATCTCAATCTGAAGAGACTCCTCGGCAGCGCTGCGCCGGCCAGACTTTGGAAGCTTCTCGATTTCCTCCTTGTATTTGGCTGCCATCTTCTTCAGAGGCTCCAAGTCGGTGTTCTCGAAACGCCTCTTTCCACCCTTGTCCTGAGGACCACGGCCACCAGTCATCATACCCGTCTTGTGGATGACCAAGCCGTCCAGAGTGACCGTTTTGACAGGGATACGCTTCTCGTACGAGATGATCTTTGCGATCTTCTCGTTATCACACACTACAGAGCTACCACAGGCGTAGGCCATGGCGCGTTCGTAGGCGGCATCAAAGTCGATGGTGTCAATAGTCAACCGGGCTCCCGAGATGCCCTTAATAGCCGAGTTCACCGCGTTGACCTTGATATTGTCGAGAGGAATGAAGGTCATAGGCGGGAAGCGTTGGTCTTTGAGGTACTGGACACACTCGTGGCCAGTCTTCTCCGTGTCGACAATGACTGAATCGAAATCGCGGCCCAGTGCAATACCGACAGCCTCGTCGAATTTCTTCTGTTTGGGTTTGCAGAGATCACCGATCCTTCCCTTGACACCAGGATAGAGTCGCTTCAGGTTGTTGACCATTTCTTTCATCCTGGCTTCCCTGTCATTTTGTCTGCGTCCATCATCAGCCTCACGAAGTTGCTTGGCCACAGTCTCAAGCTTTTCTTCCAATTCTGTGCGTCTTTGGCTGGTTCTAACACGCTCGGACTGAATTTGATGGTATTGCTTCTTTTTCGTGTCGATTTCCTGGGACAATGCCTTGATGTTGCCCTCAGTTGATGACTTGCGCTCACCGAGAGTCTCTAATTCACCCTCGTATTTCTCCAGAGCGGCCGAAAGGGTGTCAACCTTGCCCTTGAGGGTATTGACGGTGACCTCATCAGTCTTTTGTTGGCGGATCAGATTATCGAGCTTGCCTTGGTTGCCAGCGACCTTTTGTACAACCTGTGAGCGAAGTAAGTTGTACTCTTTGCGGTCGTCGTCACTGAGCTCCTTGCCCAGCTTCTTCATTCGTTCTTTGAGTTGCTTCTCGAAGTGTTGCTGGGCTTTCTCGGTTGTCTTCAGTCGGGCCTCGTCTTCCTTGATGACCTCGGCCTGCTTGTCACGCTCTTTGCGCACTGGCTCCATTCGCGAGCGACCCTGTTCAATGTTGCGGGTCTTTTCCTCAATCTTTGCGTCGATGGGGATGAGCCTGTGCTCCAATTCGTCGAACTCGCGCTTCTTAGCGTTAATGGCCTTTTCCACTCCGTTGACATCCTTTGCCGCCGCTTGCTGCTCTTTCTGGGCAACTTCGAGTTTCCGTCTGAAGGATTCGACGTTGCGCTGGAACTCCTGCAAGTTCTGTTGGTGATCGTGAATTTGCTCAGTAGATTCATCCATGCCACGTTGAAAATGATAGAGCTTCCACAGAGCATGTTTGACGATGGCTTCGTCTCTCTCGTCCGTCTTCTTCTGGAAGTTGTCTGCCTCCTTCTTCTGTTCCTGATATTGCTTGATCTCGGAGTTGATGCCGCGTCTCCGGTGAAGCTGAAAGCTTTGGTTCTCGGCAGCTTGCTCAGCTTCGGTCTGCAATCGTTCGTATTCGGCCTTATACTCGAGACTTCCGGAGATTTGTTCGATCAGTCTCGTGAGGTCTTGCGGTGACTGCGCGGCAATGGCTTCAACATCTCCTTGGAAGACGAGGAAATTTCTAGCCTTAATCAGGATGTTCTCGGATTCGAGCGCTTCGTTGTACTGCTGGGCTGTGACGACGCGATCGTTGATGCGGTACTCGCTAGATCCCTGGTTCGTGATGGAGCGCTTCCACTTTTGCTCGTCACCAGCATCGTCTTCGTATACAGCCATGACCCATGCAGTCTTCGGGTCGGTCCTCGAGGCTTTTTGCGACAACTCGTCTCCGTCGCCGTTCGAGTGACCATTGCTGCCATTCGCTTCAGCAGAGCCATCGTCGTTGATTTTCGAGGTTTTCAGCACGCGACCACGGTAGACCAGGTCCTTCAGGTGGGCTGATCGAAGATGCGACGACTTGATACCAAGCACGAAGGATATCGCGTCCATGCTGTCGGAAGATGCACATTAATTGCAAGTCAAGGCAGCATAGGCAACTAGGCGAACTTACGAGTTTGACTTGCCGGATCCATTGGGTCCAATGATGGAAGTGAAGTAGGAGTCACCAAACAAGAGGATATGATGGCCCTTGTAGGACTTGAAGTCTATGGGGTGACATGGTCAGCGCGAGAGTGGCATGGAAATGATGCTGGACGTGGACATACTGAAAAGCTCTAGGCGGATGAGCTTTCCCATCTTGTGGACGGGTTGTCGCTAGGCACGCGACGATGATTGATACTGGTTGTAAGGTTGTAGTGGGCTTGGGTCGCGGCTGGTCGCAAACGCGATGAGGCGCGCAAGACGAGGGGAAAAATGATCGAGGCAGATGCCCAAGGCCTGGAAAGCGGTACTAGATTGGCTGGGCTGTAGGCAGAGACTACGTTATGCAGCAGTAGTCTAGTCGAGTGTTGAGGGCCTCGAGCTGGCCTGGCGCATCGCGAAGAAGCACTCGGAAGG